TGCTATTTAATAGGAGACTTGGTAAAGACCATTGCGAAAGAGAGTACCTCACCTTTAAGCTGCTTATATGACTTCGTTTTCATTTTGAAAGGTTCAAGAGATTGTCACAAACAAAAAGAATAGGAAAGCTGCCATAATTAATCAAGAATTTCATTTGCAGTTGTCAGGAGGTTCACAGTTGGCTTTTAAACTTCCTAACTGTGTTTAGTATTAATGTGTAAAGCCTAATTTTTAAAAACATATTAGAAATGAAGGAAGAGTAATCAAGGAAATTGTATATATTTCTCTTCTCAGTCTAAGTACTCTGAAGTAACTCCTGAAAGCAGAAAAAGAAATTATCTAAATGTATCAGACTGTTTATTAACATCATTGAGAATTTTAAATATTCAAGATCCTAAATATGCTAAGAGTAAAGCCAAGGACAAGAGAATTTTATAGAAAATTATTCATTTCTATTTCTTCCAGTTATAGGAAGGGAAAGCAAGAATCCTATAATTCCATGTCTTGATTATTTAGCATCTGTTCACTTCCTTCCCATTTATGACACTCTGAGAATATCTGGTTGTCTGCTCCAGAGAAAAACAGAAATATTCTCTCTTCTCTTCACCAATCTCCAGTAGACCATAACCATCTCGTGTGCACCCTAAGAAACAGGGTTCTGTTCCAGATAAACGCTCATCACCTTTGTGCATTTCCAAACACCTGGAGCAACAGTAAGCCTAACGGGTTAATGAGGAGTGGGGACATGTTTTCAAAGTAAAACATGAAGAAAAGACCAGCTGTGAACAAACACTATCTATTTTCTATGGTAGCAGGCAAGCAATTTTCTTTGGCTGGGTTCCAGGGCCAGGCAAAGTTCATCTGACTGCAAATGTATTAATACCTGTATTGGATCCAATGCAAAAAACTACCTTGTGTTCCCTTGTGTGCAACAAACTTTTGAATGAATTATTTTCTCTCTAGTATGATCATTCTAGAACAGAACGAGAGATGGTCTATAACTGTTCACTGTGATCAATTTAATGGACGGAAAACCTTAGGAATAAAAATTCAAAATGGGGCCATTAACTCAAAAACCCAACCACTACAGTAACTAGAACTACCAAAGTTTAAAATAAGAATAACAAAAAAGTCTCCTCTTTTCTGAGGCCTAAAAACATGCTATTTCCAAGTAAATACGGTTTCAAAAGCCTGTTACTCTAGGAAGGGAAAAGCGGCAGATACTATTTTTCCACCTACTGGAGACTACTGACAGCTGGCCTGTGGTCCATCTGTGGTCACATTAACATGACTGAGCCACATCTTCAGAGCTGTACGAGAAGTATTAAAATACCAAACTGTTTAAAAAAAGGGGGAATCTATGTGGACTTATCTGCTTTACTGCATGATAATGGTGGCAATGACTTGAAAGCTTAAATTCACCAACCAGCATACTTACCAGTCTTGCAAATAACCTCAGTACATACAACTAGAAGCTTCCTACCCATGGTCTCCTGTAAGTGGGGGCACAAGGCAAAGAGCTGGGGCTCTATCAGGCATGTTATTTCCATCCGCTCTGTCTTTCCTTGCCTTTATAAAGCTACATTCAACTTACAACACCTGAGCTATTCCTAATTTGGCAATAAAAAAAATAACCGTTCCTTGGACTGATTTCCCTTTTACTGTCTATGTTTACCATCTGAAGGAATGTTAATATTGTGTAAAACATCAAAACAAAGCTCAATTTTCCTGTGTACACATTGTTTTAGTAAAGGCCCATCACTGTATATCCACACTTCCTCTACTAAGGACTCCCTTGTTGGGAAGAAGTAATGGTCTAATTGGTTGCCTTACTTTAGAGGTACCACAAGTTATGGAATTATTCTGGCCACGTTCAGGGGTCAAGATAAACCCTCGCTTATCTTTAGTAAACATCTTTCACGTTTACTGCAATAGTAGGAATATTCTGCTATTCTGCTACATTATCAACATAAATATTGGTCAAAAATAAGGGAAGACCCTAGCATCATTGTTTAGATGTCAACTTCTTTGTCCTCGTTAGGTTTATTTATAAACTATTTGGTGACATGCTCCTCCTACACACTAATCCAAACTGAAATATCTTCATTTTCCCCAACTGGAAAAGGAGGGAATTCAAACAAGTTAGGGAAAATGAAGATATTTCAGTTTTTAGGACTAACAATGAAACACAATCACCAAGGAAATACCTAAATAATAATCTAAATAGTACTTTGTATTAATTAATTTTGAGGCCAAGATCTACATTTTATGTATGATATGACCTAAACATAGCATTAACAATACTTAAAAACTGAAGAATAAACGTGAAAAAGTCAGTAAGGTAAGCCAGTTATGGTTCCTTCCTCCCCCTATTGCTTGACGTGATTCCACTCTACTCATATAACTATCAACAAGGTAGATTTCTGATAGCTGTACAAGGATTCCATGTATGCCTTGGAATATATATGCAAATCAGGCTAACATATCATAAGCCTGAAATTAAGAGTATATGCCTGAATATAAGGTAAGGCTTTTAACTTCCTGAAGTCACTTATTAGAAAAGAGGAGACTGTCTGCTATTTGAGTCTTTACACAGCATCTCAGATTATAAGATGCTTTTTCATGTACTTAATAGTGAACAAAAAAGTACCTGAGGAAAACATATTTGCTTAAAAATTAACTTTATTCAAAGCTAGTTTTAGGATGTTTATAAAAATATCTTAGTAGACTCATAAAAAGGGAAGAAGAAAAATCCAACACATTAATTACTCCTAGGTTATAACCTTAAAATTGAAAGTACTGAGTGTTGTTACAAACGAGACTTTGAAAAACTGCTTTTAAAAAAGTAGTCAAATGCTATTCTGTCAGAAAGGATACAAGTAACAGTAGTTAATTCTGAGGCAGTAACCAGGTAGCTAAGGCGAAAGACTGGGAGGTAACCTACTTTTCACTGTGACCCATTTGTACCCTGTACATTATAGGGCAGTGAATGTGTTACCTACTCAAACAAAACAAAACAGATAATTATATTCTAAAATAGGAACTACAGCCCCATAAAATGTTATGACCAATCACAAATCACACAAGTGATTATGTTATAGAGACTGTGAACATACAACTATAAAACACACACAAACACGCATGCGTGCACCCAACCCCACTGTTTTGTCAATGGTACTTGTAGTCTAGACATAAAATATCCAGTGTCAGATCATGTGTGAACTCAAAAACCAAAACCACTGTAACTCAAGACAATAGAGACAGAAATGAAGATACACCCTGGATTTCAGTGCTACATGGATGATGCCAAGGGGTTCTGCTAATGATAAAAAAAAAAAAAAGCACTTCCCACAAAGATTCATAGATAGAATCTGAGCAAGATGGTTCTATGAAATATGAGTGTGAATAAAGCAATCTTTCTATATTATTGCACTGCTCCATGAAATGTGATTTTAATTATGTACATGTAACTAAATTACTCAATTAAAATTCTTACCTTTTACTCCATCTTCCTAAAAGTTTATACAGGGAGACTACCTAATATTCGGGCTAACCTTATATTCAGGCATACATAATCAAGACAACATTCTTGCAAGAGAATGTGGTGTGCTTTATCAAGTAAATCACCACAAAGTAAAAACTTTCCAACACATTCCCCTCTTCTGCTACATATGACCATTGTTTTGAATAATTATATAATATTGCAATTTTATACTGGTGCAACTCATTTTTTTTTGAGGATAATAATCTGAACGTTACACAGGTCCAAAGGTACTGTGTGAATCTGATGACATTTAGTCATGGGTTAGTAAATATGGTTATATTCTCTCAGCCACTTAGAAAGGAAGGCCCCCAACTGACGGAAGGTTCTATTGGTCAAGCACAGCTTCCTGAAAGGCCTGACCGTACCTGAGCCAAAATGTTGCTTTACACCACTCGACAAGGGTTATGCTCAAGAACAAGTACCACAGACCCTATTTGAAGGGAGAACAAGTATACTCCATCCAAACACATGTATTAAAGATCGAAGAATCGCAGCATATCATTTTCCTGCATAAGATAGGGCCAATAATGAAAGGGACTGGGAAACAGAACCCGGAAAAACAAGTAACAAGGTACATTCTAGAAGGGAATGGTTTTATTTCTTCTGGTTTTTAAAACTAAAATTTTTAAAAAGTATATTTGTAAATGTAAAACTCATCAGAACTGTAGAAAGCACAATAAATTCAGTTGAAATTCTTAATGTGGCCCTTTTAATATATATGCTTGATGTGTTTGTAAATTTTTAACATTTTAAGTTTGTTAGTTTTTATGTTTTAAGTATTAAAATTAAGTGTATATCATCTATCCTTATTTGTTTACATTAGAAATGGACAGTATTGTGTTTTCTGGAGACTCTGGGAAGCCTCTGTGATCAATGAAAATTGCCTGAACACATACCAAATGAATAGAAAATATTCATTTTGTACACAACGAAAGGCAAAGACTGACAATATGATCATATCCTATACCCATTCATAGAAAAATACTCAAGTAAGAAACTCTTGCTTTCTTAGTGATCATTAAAATAGCTTAAATTTTGTCAATTCTGAAATTAAAGTGCAACACACTGGAGACAGGGAAGTGGGAGGAGAGTCTAGGCCAATCCACAGTCCGTCTTGCCTGGCATCAGCACAAGAAGCTACCCTCCAATGCCATTCTAGCAATCTAGAGCTTGTTTCCAAGGAGAATACTGCTACCAGATACTTACTGGGGAAATAATGAAAAAAGTGAATGCAAAGTGAAAGTCTGCCTGTTACTCAAAACCAGCCAGTACCCCATGAGGCTCTCCCCTCCGTGACAGGCTGCCCAATGTAAATTACAAAAAACAAAACAAAACAAAACCAAAAAAAGAAAAAACAAACAACAACAACAACAAAACTACCAAACAGGAATCAACTGGGATCACAAAGAGGGGAGTCTTTAAATCCAGTCCCCACTGCACATGCTGAAAAGCTCACCATTCTTCCTCTCATTCAGAGGGGGCAGGTGCTGGCTGGGCTGCAAGGACAGCTCCTGGAATTCGTGGGCAACAGCTTCACTTTGAGGACTTGGGGCAAGATGGGCTAACGGCCCCAGCTCATCCTCAGCGTCTAGTGCCCCTGGGGGATCCATTGTGCTCCAGCCACTGGCGACGGGCGTCCGAGACCTCTCTTAAAGGTGGCCTGCCGAAGAGACTGTCAAGTAGAAACATGTAAATAGATGGTACATTTACTTTTCTCCAATTTACACAAAAATACTAAAATGGAAATCCTGGGTTCTAGTCCAGCTTCACTGCTGTGTAGCAACCGCCAATTCATTTACCGTCTCTGGATCTTGGGTTCTTTGTCCAACACACAGGAGTAATAGACTTCCCATCTAAAACAGCACTTATCAGGTAATACAAGTTGAAAGGCATTGTATATTATTTTTTGTACTGTGGATTAAAGCAAGTTATAGTTATTATAGTTATTGGTGTCATTAAAGATTTTAATGCATCCTAAAATAAGACGAAAGTCAACTAATGATCATGGGGAAAAAAAGCAGTCTAGCTTGAAAATCTATCTGAACTCCTACAAATCAGGGGCACCTGGGTGGCTCAGTCGGTTAAGCGTCTGCCTTCGGCTCAGGTCATGGTCTCTGGGTCCTGGGATCAAGCCTCACGTCAGGCTCCCTCCTCAGTGGGGAGTCTGCTTCTCCCTTTCCCTCGCCCCCCCCATACTCTCTCTTTGTTTAGTAAATAGTTAAACTCCTATGAATCAAACAATTTTACATGAAGTTAACATTCACAGCACCCAGCAATGTTTCAGATAAGGACTCCTCCCTCAGCATGGGAAGAGAACTCTTGGCTACAGCACAACGGACATACAGTTCATGCCACAGAAAAAAACCTTTAAGCCACTGAGATTTGGGGTTATTTACTATTACAGCATAACCTGGCCCATTCTGACTAAAACAGAAGTCGGCAACAGAAATACCAAAGACACAATGAAATCCTCCATACATGACACTGGCTTAGGGGCTGAGCAGTGGTCAGCAAGAAAGCTTACTGAAAGCTGAAAGGATGGTGGTCCATACTATGCAGGGGTAAAACATTTCACAAAACTGTTGCCTGCTTAGTTGCATTCCCTATCACACACTCCCTGTCACAGCGTACTGGCTGACCCACTCACCTAATGACGGACATCTGAGTTGTTTCCAGTTTCTATTACAAATAAAAATGCTATGAACATTCTTGTCCAAGTATTTATATGGATATCTGCTTTCACTTCTCTTGCGTGAATACCTAAGAGTAAAATGAGTGGATCGTCTGGCAAGTGAGTAAATTTTAAAGAAACTAACAAAGTATTTTCCAAAGTGGTTATGCCATTCTGCACTCTTACTAGCAGTGAATGAGAATTGCAGTTGTTTCATATCCTCACCAACACTTCTGGTCAATCTTTTTCATTTTAATTATTTCAATGGGTGTGAAATGGTAACTCAATGTGGTTTTATTTATTTATGTATTACTTAATTTATTGACTTATACTTGATATACCAGTTTCAGATGAACAAGACAGTAATTTGATATTTTTATATATTACAAAATGATCACAATAGGTCTAGTTACCATGTCACCATACAAAATCATTACAAAACTGACTACAGCCCCTATGCTGCATATTACATCTCTGAGACTTATTTTTTTAAAGATTTTATTTATTTATTTGACAGAGAGAGACACAGCGAGAGAAGGAACACAAGCAGGGGGAGTGGGAGAGGGAGAAGCAGGCTTCCCGGCGAGCAGGTAGCCCGATGTGGGGCTCGATCCCAGGACCCTGGGAGCATGACCTGAGCCGAAGGCAGACGCTTAACGACTGAGCCACCCAGGCGCCCCATCTGAGACTTATTTATTTTAAACTGAAAGTCTTCACCTCTTAATTCCCTTCACCTATTTTGCCAGCCCCCCTACCCTCCACAACCACCAGTTTGCTTTCTATATCTATGAGGTCTGTTTGTTTCGTTTTTTCATTTTGTTTTTTAGATTCCACATACAAATGAAATCATACAGTGTTTGCCTTTCTCTGACTTAATTCACTTAGCGTGATATCCTTGAGGTCCTACCATGTTGTCACAGAAGGCAAGATTTCATTCTTTTTTTGTGGCTGAGTAATATTACACACACCCACCCACCCACCCATCCACCCACACACACACACCCTTCTTTATCCATTTATTATCTATTGATGGACATTTGGGTTACTTCTATGTCTTGGCTACTGTAATACTGCAATAAACATAAAGGTAGTACATACGTCTTTTTGAATTAGTATCAGTTTTTTCATTTTCTTCAGATAAATACCCAGAAGTGGAATTCATGGATCATATGGTAATTATATTTTTAATTTTCTGAGGAACCTCCATACTGTTTTCCATAGTGGCTGCCCTAATTTACATTCCCCACCAACAGTATACAAGGGATCCCCTTTCTCCACATCCTCACATCCAACACTTGTTATTTCTTGTCTTTTTGATGATAGCCATTCTGACTAGTATGAGGTGATATCTCATTGTGCTTCTGATTTGCATTTCCCTGATTAGTGATGTTCAGCATCTTTTCATGTGCTTCTTGGCCATCTGTATGGCGTCTTTGGAACTGTCTATTCAGGTCCTCTGTCCATTTTTTAATGAGATTATTCTGCTGTTGTTGTTATTGAGTTGTATGAGTCCTTTATTATATTTTGGATATCAACCCCTTATCAGATATATGGCTTACAATGATCTCCCATTCAGCAGGCTGCCTTTTCATTTTGTTGATGGTCTCCTTCACTCTGCAAAAGCTTTTCAGTTTGATGTGGTCCCATTTGTTTATTTTTGTTTTTAATGCCCTTGTCTAAGGAGACATATCCAAAAAAATATCACTAAGACTGAGGTCAAAGAGCTTACTACCTCTGTTTTCTTCTAGGAGTTTTGTGGTTTCAGGTCTTACATTTATGCCTTTAATCCATTTTGTGTATAAGAAAGCAGTCCAGTTTCATTCTTTTGCACACAGCTGTCCAATTTTCCCAATACCATTTATTGAAAAGACTGTCTTCTCCCCACTGTATGTTCTTGTCTCCTTTGTAATTGACCATACAGGTGTGGGTTTATTTCTGGTCTCTCTATTCTGTTCCACTAATGCCTGTTTTTGTGCCACTACCATACTGTTTTGATTACTATTGCTTTTCAGTACAGTTTGAAATTCCAGAGTATGATACCTCCAGCTTTGTTCTCTTTCCCAAGATTGCTTTGGCTATTTTGGGTCTTTTGTGGTTCTGTACAAATTTTAGGATTGCTTGTTTCACTTCTGTGAAAAATGCCATTGGACTTTTGATATGGATTGCAGTGAATTGGTTGATTTGTAGACTGCTTTGGGTAGTATGGACATTTTCACAGTTTTAGTTCTTCCCCAACCCCAAAGCACAGCATATCTTTCCATTTATTTATGTTATCTTCAATTTCTTTCATCAGTGTTTTACAGTTTTCAGAGTATAATAGGTCTTTCACTTTCTTGGTCAAATTTATTCTAGGCTATTTTATTGTTTTTGATGCAACTATAAGTGGGATTATCTTCTTAATTTCTCTGATAGTTCATTATTAGGGTGTAGAAATGCAACAAATTTCTGTGTATTACTTTTGTATCCTGCAATTTTCCTGCACTCATTTATTAGTTCTGATAGGTTTTTGGTGGAGTCTTTAAGGTTTTCTACATAGTATATCACCAGCAAATAGAAACAGTTTTACTTCTTCCTTACCAATTTGGATGCTTTTCTTTTTCTTGTCTGATAGCTGTGGCTAGGACTTCAAATACTATGTTGAACGAAAGTGGCAAGAGTGGACATCCTTGTCTTGCTTCTGATCTTAGAGAAAAAATTTTCATTTTTTCACCCATTGAGTATGATGTTATTAGCTGTGTGTTTGTCATAAGTGGGCTTTATTATGTTGAGGTACCATCTCTCTATATCCACTTTGTTGAGAGTTTTTATCACAAATGGATATTGGATTTTGTCAAATGCTTTTTCTGCACCTATTGAGATGATTATATAATTTTATCCTTTATTTTATTAATGTGCTGCATCATGTTGATTGCTTTGCAGATGTTAAACCATCTTTGTATCCCTGGAATGAACTCCACTTGGTCATGGTGTATGACCCCTTTTAATGTTTTGATCAAAGAATTCAGTTTCCTAATATTTTGCTGAGGATTTTTGCATCTGTGTTCATCGGGGATGTTAGCCTGTAATTTTCTGGGTTTTTGTGGTATCTCGGTCTGGTTTTGGTATCAGGGAAAAGCTGGCCTTATAAAATAAGTTTGGAAGTGTTTCTTCCTCTTTATTTTTTGGGAATAATTTCTGGGATAATTTAAATGTTTGGTAGAATTCACCTGTGAAGTCATCTGCAACTTGGACTTTTGTTGGTAGTTTTTGATTACTGATTCAAATTTCATTGTTAGTAAGTGGTCTATTCAGATTTTCTCTATCTTCATGATTCAATTTAGGAAGACTGCATGTTTCCAGGAATTTATCCATTTCTTCTAGGTATTTGTTGGCATATAATTGTTCACAGTATTTACGTATTACTATTTCTGTGGTATCTGCTGTAATTTCTTCTTTTTCATTTCTGATTTTACTTATTTGGGCCATCCTCTTTTTTCTTGATGAGTTTGGCTAAAGGTTTGTTGATTTTGTTTATCTTTTCAAAGAACCAGCTCTTAGTTTCATTAATCTATGCTACTTTGTGTGTGTCTGTGCACGTGTATTTCATCCCCCTGCTGCTCTGATCTGTATTATTTCCTTCCTTCTACTAACTTTGAGCTTTGTTTGTTCTTCTTTTTCTAGTTTCTTTAAATGTAAAGTAGATTGATATTTTTCTTGTTTCTTGAGGTAGGCCTGTATCACTATAAAATTCCCTCTTAGAACTGGTTTTGCTGTGTCACAAAGATTTTGGAATGCTGTGGATCCAGTTTCATTTGTCTCTAGGTATTTTTTTATTTCCTCTTTGATTTCTTTTATTTAACAATAGCATGTTGTTTAGTCTCCATGTGGTTGTGGGTTTTTTTTTTTTTTTCAGTTTTCTTCATGTAATTGACTTCATGTAACTGACTTCTAGTTTCATGCTGTTGTGGTTGGAAAAGATGCTTGATATGATTTCAATCTTCTTAAATTTATTGAGACTTGTT